ATAGCGGAGTGAAGACTGTCAACGTAACTTTGGCTCCCTTCTCCATGTTTATGCTGTCAGCAGAAAAACCAAACTCTGCAAAACATTTCAAAGAGGTTTATTCTGAGTAGATGTTAATGCTCACTCCAGCTTCAGCACCTCTCCAGAGAGCTGATACTGCTGGGGAAGCTAAGTTGTTCTTTTTGAAGGGAGAATTACATATGACAGACTGAAAATCGAAACAAACTAAAAAGGATACAAGCTCACTATGAATTAGTTAAGCCTATTGCATGTTTTACGTCAAGTTTATAACTTTCTCCCTGAATTTTGGGTTCCCTTGGTTGGGGAAGGTAGATATGGATGAGTTCCCTAGGGCTACCATAACAAAGTACTGCAAAGTTGATGGCTGAAATTAAAGCAACAGAAATTCATTCTCTCACAGTTCTGGAGGCAGAAGTCAGAAATCAGGATGCCAGCAGGGTCACGCTCCCTCTGAAGGCTCTAGGTGGAGTCTTTCATGGCTTTACTAGTTCTAGTGGCTCCAGGTGTTCCTTGGCTTGTGGCTGCATCACTCTAATCATTACATCTAATACATGGCCTTCTCCCCTGTGTGAGCTTGTTGACACTCCTTTGTCGTCTCTCTTACAAGGATACACGTAACTGCGTTTTCGGCTCACCTGGGTAATGAAAAATAAACTCTTTGCCTCAAGATCCTTAATTAACCACCATTTGTGCCACATAAGATCACATTTACAGAATCCATGATTTGAATATGGGCATGTCTTTGGTGCCAATGTTTAGCCCACTGCATTAGGTAATTCTTTTCTCTGTTTGTCTTGTCACAGAACAGGCTCTCCTATACATAAAGTTGGTTGCTTTCTAAATTCCATGAGTTTTCAGGTTTGTTTCTATTCTTCCTGTTTCTTTCTTTCTTTTTTTTTTTTTTTGAGATGGAGTTTCACTCTTGTTGCTCAGGCTGGAGTTTAATGGTGTAATCTCAGCTCGCCGCAACTTCCACCTCCCAGGTTCAAACGATTCTCCCGCCTCAGCCTTCCAAGTAGCTGGAATGACAGGCACTCACCACCACGCCCAGCTAAGTTTTGTATTTTTAGTAGGGATAGGGTTTCACCATGTTGGCCAGGCTGGTCTTGAACTCCTGACCTCGTGATCAGTCCACTTTGGCCTCCCAAAGTGCTAGGATTACAGGCATGAGCCTCTGTGCCCAGCCTGTTCTTCCACTTCCTTAATGACCTAAATAGAAACATGATTCACGTTGACTTCTTCCTTTGCATTTAATCTTGCGCTATGAAAACAAACTACTGTCTCTGATGCCTTAGCAACTTAATAGTGCTTCTGATCTTTTGAAAATCACAGGTTTGTGTTTATAAGAACATATCCTCTAGACTCAAGCTTATGTCTCTAAAAGTCTAAAGGCCTTGTGGCTGGTACATTACTATAATCAGCAAGAAACTGGTCCTGATTCTCTTAAACTCACTTTGTTCAACTGAGAACAAACTTGGAAGTCTCCTACAAAACTGGAGTTGATTCGCATCTCTTGATTACTTCTGCAGGCCTTTGAAAGTTCCAGAGAAGTTCTCCGTGTGCTATATATGTTAAACATGCTTCCATGTTTTCCTTTAAATCATCAAGAGCAGCACATAGGATAATGTGTTTATTCCTTTCTCTGCTCCCTAGGATTATCTTCTTTTTAAAGTCATCGACCCTTTCCCTATCTACTCTAAATGAATGATTTCATGCTCCATCCTGAAAATCTGGTTAAAATGACATTGCATCTCTTTATATCATCTGTCCAAATTGTACAAAGAAAGAGTGTCTAATGGGCACTCTCCAACAAAGTTACTGCCTATGGAGTGCTTAGAGATCCCAGGCTGTCCTAAAAATCAAAGAAAGTATTGAATAAGTTTCTCCTTTCTCTGAGATTTACAGATTCAGAAGCAGGGGGGTAGGGAGAAAGCATTTCCCTCATTATCTTTCCAATACTCTTGAAACATATTCTGCTCCTTGAAAACCTGATATTCAAAAGTTAGCTCTGGGAGTGTAGGATCGGTTTGTTTTTTTTTTTTTCACTGTTTATTTTTTATTATTATTATTTTTTTTTGAGACAGAGTCTCACTCTGTCGCCCAGGCTGGAGTGCAGTGGCATGATCTCAGTTCACTGCAACCTCTGCCTCCCGAGTTCAAGCAATTCCCTGCCTCAGCCTCCCAAATAGCTGGGATTACAGGCCCCTGCCACCACGCCCAGCTAATTTTTGTATTTTTAGTAGAGATGGGGTTTCACCGTCTTGGCCAGGCTGGTCTTGAACTCCTGACCTTGTGATCCGCCTGCCTCAGCCCACCAAAGTGCTGGGATTAGGTGTAAGCCACCACGCCCAGCCTTGTTTTTTTTCCTGAGGCAGTCTTGCTCTGTCACCCAGGCTGGAGTGCAGTGGTGTGATCCGAGCTCACTGCAGCCACAACATCCCCAGCTCAAGCAATTCTTCCACTTCAGCTTCCTGAGCAGCTGAGACTATAGGCACATGCCACCATGCCCAGCTAATTTTTGTATTTTTTTTTTTTAGAGATGGGGTCTCCCTGTGTCACTCAGACTGTTTTCAGTCTGTCCTGGACTCAAGAGATCTTCCTGCCTCAGCTTCCCAAAGTGCTAGGATTATAGGGGTGAGCCACTGCATCCAGCCCACTGTATTTATTTTATTGAGATGAACATCAGTCAATTAATTAGGCTTTTTTTTTCTTTCTTTCTTTTTTATGAGACAGAGTCTCGCTCTGTCGCCCAGGTTGGAGTACAATGGCTTAATCTTGGCTCACTGCAACCTCCGCCTTCTGGGTTCAAGCTATTTTCCTGCCTCAGCCTCCCGAGTAGCTGGGACTACTGGTGTGTGCCACCATGCCTGGCTAATTTTTGTATTTTTAGTAGAGACAGGGTTTTACCATATTGGTTAGGCTGGTCTCGAACTCCTGACCTCATGATCTGCCCGCCTTGGCCTCCCAAAGTGCTGGGATTACAGGCATGAGCCACCACTGGGCTTTTATTGGAGGAGAATGAATATCTATAGTGATTGCTTGTAGAATTAAATGTTGTTTCAAGCTTTTTGCCCCCTAAAAATGAGAATGGTAATATAATATTTGTATTCTGTGAGTTTCGATTGGGATAAATAAAATATTAGAAATAGAATCCCAGACCTAGGAAGAACCTTGTCTTCAGAGGAGCAGCCTTGGTCCCAGCCCCTTCTCCACAGCTGCATGAAGAAGCTGCGGAAAACCACTCACCCTCACCCCCAGTTCTGGAATGTGAAGGTAAGATCTACAGTGTTTTGGTGATGGTCATTGCTGGAGAGCTCTGGGACATGCAGGAAATGGCTCCAGAGCCTCTTCCTCTTCATTGTCACGCAGCAGCAGTTCAGAGCTTTCCAGAAAGACCTACTTTTCATTTCCCCTAAGTTTCAAGAATTTGGGCACTTGTGGGAGCTATAGATAGGGTGAGGTTTGGCTCTTGGCACCAGGCTAGCATCGGGGCATGGAAGGGATGGGGACGGGTGCTAGAATCAGTGGTTTCCAGGGTTGAAGGAGGCCTTGGGTGAGGGGATAGCAAGAGCCAGGGCCTGTCGTTCCCATGGCCATGAGGCAGAAGAAGGCACAGGGAGAATAGGGTAGGTAGGGCAGAGTTGGAGATGGTTAGGGAACTCTCTCGGCCCTCCCTGCTCTGGGTTCCAGGCCTGGCATGACACTGACTAGTTGTGTGCCATGACCAAGCTGCTCAACAAGTCTGCGCCTCTGTTTCTTCATGGGTGTTATGAAGGGATTGGACTCCATGATTGTTAAGGTCTGTTCCAGTTCCAGCAAACAAACTGCAAACAAGCAAAACAAACAAAGCCTGCCTTGTTTATTTTCAAGAAAGCATTTGCTAATCTCTTTCCAATGCAGTCAGTCTCCTTGTTTACCATCCTGGGCTCCTCTCAGGCCCCAAAATAGTGCTTTTTATTTTTAGGGAGAAGCAAATAGTTCAGTTTGACTGCAGCATGGGAAGAAAGCAGGAGGGCAACCAAGAGGAGTAGAACCTGAAAGGGATCTGGGATTGGAGCATAAAGGCCTAAGTACTCCTAGCCTTAGGCATAAGAACACACTGTCCTGGTGCCATTCTTTAGATCAGAGAGGACCAGAGGGGTCCCAACCCCTTGGGACAGGAAAGGGCTAAATGAGGACCAGAGACAGGTTAGAGTCCTCCCTGATCCTCATCCAAGCCCTTTCTTGTCCCAAGGGGGCTGAGAGTCTCTGGGGCTAAGGGACACTTCCTTGTCTGTATTGTGCTCTAGATACTTGAGAATTCCCCAGTCAAGTGTCCTCAAAGGTTATGGCCTTTTCCCTAGTTGCATCAGAGCATACAGTTTGTGTAGCCCTACATCCTACAGGTGGCCAAGAGCAGCTGTTTTGAGGGGAGATGGGACATGGACGTGAGGGCTAGAATTCCCCATGCCTAAGTGTGGAGCTCTTCATATGTGGGAGGGAGCTGGGAGTGGGAAGAGGACAAGGGCAGCTGCAGGCTTTGCCAACTCTTCTGTATAATTAGGGTAATTAGCATATTCCCCACCTTAAACATTGGGCATTTATTTTTGAAGACATTCACAATTTGCTCTTCTAGCTATTTGAAAATATACAATAAATTGATGTTTATTTCAGTCACTCTACAGTGCTGTAGAACACTAGAACACATTCCTCTTATCTAGATGTCCACTGATCAACTTTCGTGTCCATTAATCAACCTCTAGACAGAGATAGACATCTCTCCCTGCCTCCTCCCCTTCCCAGCCTCTAGTAACCACTATTCTACTCTCTACTTCTATCAGGTCAACTTTTTTAGCTTCCACATATGAGAACGTGCAGTATTTATCTTACTATGCCTGGCTTACTTCACTTAACATAATGTCTTCCAAGCTCATCCATGTTGCCACAAATGACAAAATTTTGTTCTTTTTAAATCAATAAATAGTATTCAATTGTGAATATATACATTTTTCATCCGTCTTTCTGTTGATGAGCATTTAGGGTGATCCATATTTTGGCTATTGTGAATAGTGCTACAGTAAACATGAGAGTGCAGAGATCTCAACAAGATTCAGTAACCCTACTACTGAGTATATATCCAAAGTATTTTATTCGTTTTGATGCTATTCTAAATGGAATAGTTTCCTTAGTTTCCATTTTTGGTTGTTTATTGTTAGTATATATAAATGCAACTGATTTTTGTGTATTGATTTCCTATCCTGCAACTTTGCTGAATTTGCTTATTAGTTCTATTGGGGTTTTGTGTGTATGTGTGTGTATGGAATCTTCAGGTTTTCCTACGTATCAAATTTTATCATTTGCAGACAGATATAATTTTACTTATTTATTTCCAATTTGGATCCCTTTTATGTATTTTTCTTGCTTAATGTTACTGCAGCTTTCTATCCAGGAAATGAGGATTTGAACAGTGATGGGGAGGTGAGCAATGGTTGGATTTGGGACATATTTTATGGGCAGAACAAATGGAACTTGTTGGCTTAGAAGTGGGTGGTGGAAGAAAGAGAGAAGTTAAAAGTGACTTCTAGGTTTATGGATGGGCTAAATTATTGTGGTGCCACTGTTTAGACAGGGTAGATGGGGGGATGCAGGACTAAGAGGGGAAGAGAAAAGGTCCATCTGGGTCGCATTAAATTTGGCCATGATTGTGCATCAGATAGATAAAAGCAAGAGAAGGAGGGAAGAAGTCAGAACACAGACCTCTGGGGAAAGCTCACATGTAGAAAAGGGATGGAAGAAGAGGCATCAGAAAGAGAGGCAAAGAAGAGCAATCTGAGGGGGAGAAAAAGAACCAGGAAAGTCAGAGAAACAAGGAAGAAGTTTCAGGAAAGTGGTAGTGGTCAACTATGCAAGCAAGACGGGAAGGAAGGTGAGGACTGAGAAAGGATTTTTTATGTGAGCAACGAGGAGGTTATTGGTAACCTTTGACAGAACATTTTCAGCAGAGTGGATAAGGTCTCTGCCGGAGTGCAAGTGAGTTGAAAATATAAGTGAGTGAGGGAAGTGCTTTAAACAAGTCTAAAGTGCTGTGTGTGTAAGGCAGTGTTGCTATTTCTGTTGCCATGGAAACAGAAACCTTTCAGGAGAACTAAAAGCCACTTAAAATCCCTGACTCTAACCCATCCTATCTGCTTGATCTCTTGAGAGAGATAATGACAAAAACCAGTCATTAGAGGGGCAGGGCAATTTTAGGTTTCTTCTTTTTAGATGTAGCCGTTAACTGGAAATCTTCCCCCTTCTTGAGAAGAGATCTTGCACTGACATCTACACTGGCTTCTAAAAAGCACAGATGACCTGCTACACTTCCTGACTTTCTTGCTATTGGTTGGCACTGTTTATAAATATAATTTGCTGTTTCCCTTTTCTTTCAAATGAGCAATCTGAATTACTTGGAGGAGAAAGGCAGAAGAGATAGAGGCAGCAGAAGCCAGGGCAGCTGAAAGACAGAGACCTTCAGGTGGGCATTTTAATCTTTGTTTTGTTAATTCAGTGTTGAGAATCATGACTTGATGATCACGTAATAGAGGAGTAATTTTTGAAAAGTAAATTTGTTTTGTTCTACTATAAATATTATTTTCCTATCATGTACATGGTAGTTTAAAAAATACTGTGAAAGTACAAAAATGTTAAAGGAAGCCAAATTCTCCACCAAGATAGCTTCTATTGATATTTTGGGGGTTTTCTGTGTGTGTGTGTGTGTGTGCGCGCGCGCGTGTGTGTTTGTGAATGTATATGCACATATAACTTTAGTTTTCATAGTTGCGTCCCTGCACTATGGACACGTTTATATTCATTTCCTGCATTTCAGTCTATGGTTTTTCCATGTTGCTGTGAATTCTTTGTAATCATAAATTAAAGCTGCTGCATAGTGTTGCATTGAGGAACTTTACTATACTTCCTCCATTTTTAGCTGTATAGCAGTTATCCTATTTTTCATAGTTTGGGTCCTTTTATTATATAAGATGTATTTTTTTCATTCAGGGTCTTGTTTTAGGGGTAGAAGAAGTTGAATCTGAGCACATATATTTCAATGGTTTTGCTCAGAGGCACAATGAGAGTGAAAGAGTATGTGAGATCATGAGCATATAATCTGTTCCTTACCCCCCTGGGACCCTAACAAGTGTTTCTCAACTCTGGCTGCACATCAAGCCAGAATCACCTGACTCTGAGGAGATTAGAAAATTACCCCTAGAATAATTGAAGCTTAACTTTTAGAGATCAGCAAGTCATCTGCAGTATTTTGTCTTGTTTTCCAGAAACTTCTCAGGTGATTCTAATAGGTGGTCGGCATAAAAACAGATGACCTACGTCATTCAAAATATTTTTCTGTCTCCGACATATACCTGAGAGTAATATGTATTAGGAGAAAGGGAGGTATAATTTCAGGCAAGCCAATCAAATCTCCCTTTCAACACTACATACATAATGCAAATTATAGAATAATTTGCGGGGAAACATAAGACTTCTAGAAATTTCTATCATCTACCTCAGCCACATAAACTCTTGAGATGAGAATCTACTTGTGTTTCGATTTATTAATGTTTTAAAGAGGTGGATTTGTTTCCAGTGCTTCGATGGTTAAAAGTTAGAGAAGTTGAGGCTGTAGTATGTTCTGAATGTACCTGAATCACGCCCATATCTGCTAGAATCTGCCAAGGCAGCCAGGCTTCCTTTCTTTTGCAATCTTCAAGATTAAACACAAGGTGGGCATTTAATAGCTGGCCAGTCACTAACACACTGTGGGCACAGTGAAGATCGATGGCATTGGATTTGGAGGCAGAAGGTGGCTCACTCTGGCTTTCAGGAGCCCCATAGACATGGCACTTATCTTCTCTGGACCTCATGTCCTCAGGAGGAAAGTGGACAGAGTTTATGCCAGGATGGTTTCTCCCATCGGGGACTGAAAACAGAGCCAGAGCCCCTAAACCACATTGAAGCATTTGCTGTTGCACTCCTAGCCTGCTGCAGGCCAGGAATCATCCCAACGAGACCAACAGCATGTTAATCAAATTTCTTCTTGTTTTGACTCAGTGGAGAACACCTGTTTAGTATCTTCATTAATGAATGTAAATATTCACATAGTACTTTACAAAACACGTTTACATGCATCAGTTCATTTGATCCACATACTGGCCTTAAGAACTGGAGTAATTCTTATTTTAAAGATAGTAAAGATGAGACTGAGAGAACATAGGATCTTTTCCAGGTGGAACCAGAACTGGTCCAATCTGGTTTAGCCCAGGGCACATGGTCCATTCTTACAACTTAAATAATAGCTATTGTGGGAAATTGGTTAAACATATTTCATAATGTTTATATAATTGGTTATTCTGTAGCCAGTTAGATGATGACATTGATGTTGTTATTTGGCAAAGAAAGGTGATCATGGCATGGAAATAAGAAAAAAGCAAGATATAAAACAGCATTATAAATGCGCTCATTTTTGTTTAAAAACATATATTTCAAGAAAGATGAAAAAAGCATATATGTGAAATTTTAGATATGTCTGGTTGGTGGTAAAGTTCATAATTTAAGTTTATTTCAGCTTGTATTACATTGTAATTTTTTTTTTTTTTACCACGAACATGTACTACTTGTGTAATAAAAATAAAGGAAAGTAAATAGAATTGTTCATGTCTTTCTGGTTGGCTCTTCTCCGGATGAAATGGCCCCATCTTCTTTCACTTGGCTGTAAAGAAGGCTGCTATTTAATTCTCTGAGTTTTGTACATTATTGTCACAAATTTTATTGTGATTGTCAGCTAGTACTGACTGAATTCTTCGCGTGTGTTGGGCACCAAGTTAATCACTTCACATCCATTTTTTTTTCATCAGTACTCACTCCAGTGCTCCTTTGGCAGAGGAGAGTTTGAAGCTCAGAGGGCTGCAGTAATAAAAGAGACTAAAAGGCAGAGTTGAAACTTAAACCCAGGACCCGTTTAACTCAAAAGCACATGGTTTCATTCATTATATCACTCTGCCTCCCATCTACCTGGGATCACATGAGCAGCCTCCGTTTTGGAGGAAAGATGATATATTTTTTCAGTGTACTCATTGCTGTGTACATGAATACATGATGGTTACTTTGGGCATCATTAGGATTTCCTGTGTACTCCAGAATCAAGGATCCTTTCTGCTTTTCTATAGTTTGCTCTATGCACCAGATATCTGAGGCACTCTAGTTTCCCAAGGGTAAGGCTTTAAGATAAAAGCCTCACAAGGGATTGTGCAATTACCCAATGAACTCTGGCTAATGCGGCAGCCAAACTGGATAATACAAAGGCAGGCAAGTATTTTGCTGTGGGTGCTTAGCTTTGCTAGAGAGCTTTTTGAAATCTGTGTCAGAAACCCCTAGCACTGTATTTCTTTATTTATCAGGGTATTGGCCACTGCCTCCTTTGTACTGCAGTTACTTATGTACAGTATGTTCTATTGGACTAAGACTCGGACATTGGAGTCCTTGCATAGAACCTAGCACATAAACTCCATTGAGAATAAGGCATTGTGTAAATAAATCGATTCACCAGTGAATGCAGACTTTAGTTACAGCTAATGTTTATCTCTGTGGAACTTTATTAACCTCTTTATATTAATTGACCCATGGAGAAAATATAATCTTGACAGAATTTAAAGGAAAACCTCTTCCAATGGATTGATGACTTTGTGGCAGTATAGTCAGAGTCTTTTGACGAAGAAATCTAGTTATTATTTGAGAGGCCCAGGATAAGGGTCTAAGCAGTGAGTTGGAGTCAAGAAATTCCAAAGTTGGAAGGGTCCTTAGGAAGAGCTGGGACCAGAGGCAGACTTTATTTGCTTCTTTAGTGTGAAATCCTTAAGGGAGAGGTTACAAAAAAGTATAGGAAACTGACTATAGGAAGAACAAGAAGGAAGGAGAGAAAGGAAGGGAGTAGAGGAGAGAGGAGAGGAGGGAAAGAGATGGAAAAGGAGAGAGGAACAGAGGGGAAGGGAGCCGGTTTACTCTGGAAGTTTAAATAGTAAGCTGGGATAATTTAAAATAATTTAGTCCACCGTTATCACCTATATTGTACATTACATAAATAAGAATTTTTTTATTGTAAAAAAGATAATTTCCCATATAAGTCTCCTCCCATGAGGCTGTAGAAACAGCATCTTACCTTGTTTGTACCTCTAGTACAGAAAAACAATCATCTAAAGAGTATTTGAAGGCATCCTAGATTCTTTTTCCTCTTTTGTCAAATTATTATTTTTAAAGTATTTTAAATTTGTGTAAATTTATGGATTACACATGCAATTTTATTACGTGCATAGATTGTGTAGAGGTCAAGTCAAGGCTTTTAGGGTAACCATCACCTGAATAACATTGTATCCCAGATTCTTTTAGGTAAGTTGGTTTCTTTTTATTTTGAGTCTTACCTTAAAAATAACTCTGTTATCTTGTAAATTCACTGAGAGACATGAAGGTGACTCCCTTTGTTAGTTGTAAGAGGCACAAATCCCTATTGGGAACTTGTTGGCAGAGAGTCAGACAGACAGTTTGCTACCCTCCAAGATATAAAGGGTGCTGCTTCCTACAGTGTTTAGAACAGAGCACCTTTTGCGTACCCTTTGTGGCTGCCTTCTGCTCCCATGCCATGCCATTGACCATTGACCCTATATTCCTGTTCCCAGACTTTAGATTTGAATTTCAGGAAAAGGAAATTTTCAAGGAAAAACACATTAACATCATTTCATTGTAAAAGACCACGTGAGTTATTTCCTCCCTGCCCCCAGAAGATATTAATTGTAAGGCATAAAATGAGGGCGTTGGATAACAGCTTCATTAGCTCATTTATTGATCTGAGCACATTCATGTGCCTCATGCTGTGCTGGGGCCTGGGGTACAGCAGTAGACACGTTCTTGCCTTCCATGGGCAAACAGTCTGGTAGGTAGGGATAGACAGGAGACAACTGCTGCCCCTCAGGTAAATGCTGGATGGGAAGCCCAAGGGTCGGCGAACAGCCAAGACGTGGAGGGGTCAGAGAAGCCGTCTTCTGAAGGAAGCGATGTTTAGAAAGAAACCTGAGATTGGGTAAGCAATAGCCAGGACATGAGCTTGAGCTCAGAAGAAATGGGCAAGAGAGAGCTTGCTGTGTTCGGGGCCTTGAAATAAGTTTCATGAGACTGAGTATTCTTTACTGAGGGGATGGTGGGGAGAGAATATGCTGGACAACAAGATCGATACTGTGACAAGCCTGGAGATGAACTTGATTCTGAGATGCTAATGGGTTTTAAGTGGAAGAGTAATGTGGTCAGACATGCATTTTGGAAAGGTCACTCTGGCCACTGTGTGAAGAATGAATTGAGAATAGCCAGCGTGGAGATAGGGAGGCATTGAGGAGGCTGTGCCCACTGTCCAGGTGAAAGATGACAGCCTGCACTAGGCCGGTCTTGAGCTGACCCCTGAGATGAAAGGAAGGAGTTGGTGGAGCCTGCTGG